AGTTCTAGAACAGCCAGATACTTCCCCCCCCCCCCCCCCCCCCCCCCAAAAAAAAAAAAAAAGAAACCAAAAAACTGTGAAGCACAAGACATCGTGTAGGACCTCACCAAGGTTTCATATATTGGAATGTGATGAGCTCATAGCCAAAGAGAAAATATGAACAACAGGCTTATAGTAATTGCATTTGAACGGAATAGTGGTGATCTTGGAAAACAGAAATGTATTGAAATGGAATGTGCCCGCAACTGATTTCCAAAAATGGTTATAGCCCCACTTTTGCAAAGAAACTCTTCATAATGCTTCCAGTTCATTTGAAAGGCAACCTATCCTTTAGAACAAGCAGTTCTTCTAATAGGCACTTACTTGCAATTCATCAGAGCACTTGTCTTTTGGTGGCGGGAGAAGAAACTTGTCCAATGGATCAGCTTCTTTTGGCTCCTCTACAGAAATCTTGATAGCTTCTTCAACCTCTTCAGATACTGATTCATTCAAAGCATAGGTCATGGCATCAGACTGTGACAGACCATGTTGATCAGATAATTGAGGAGTCGCTTGAGCAAGTGGTGTTATGACCTCGACAGTTCCTGGTGGTGGATTTTCGTGGAAATTGCCTGAAAATGCATAAAGAAAAACTATAAAGATACAGATTATGGTGAGCAGAAGGCCCTTTTTTCTCACACAGATTGTCCTAAATCAGAAACTGTCAGTCAAGAGAAAGAAAGATTTCTATCCCTGCACTGATGTGCCCAAAACATTATCAATATGCCTGGTTTTTTAAGGTCCTTGTACTAGAAAAGGAAATGAAATGCAGCAAAACAAAAAAGAAGAGAAGAGATGACTAGTTTGTCAAACAGCACGATCCATCCCGTAAACATCTCCCTATTAATCAAGTCTCACTGGAGATCCCAGAGCACATAGAAAATGCCACCCCAACAGAAAAAAGAGGAAACATGCAACCAACCTGGAAGTTCCCAAGAAAACATGTAATTCCCACCTCATCAATGAAAGCAATTTGAAAGTTTCTAAATAAACAAGGAGACCAGCTACTTCATTGATGCCCCCACGGACCGATGTCCACAAATCCAAATTTTATCCCTAATTGTCAAACATGAACCACAGATCTACATCTGGAGCTTTATCTTCCAATGAATCATGAAATTGCCAACGCATTCTAGTGTCCTTATTGTTGGATATTCTCAAATCAACCAGCCCCCCACCATTTACAGCATACCACATACATATGTCATTCCTTAAGCACTCTCTTGAGTCTTTCCCATCAATCCTCAAAAACTGTATTGCCTCAATCTACGCATGGTTATCTAACCCACAGATACCGGGATTGTATATGCCCCAGCATTCCACAAACTGGGCTTGCATGACCCAGAACAGATTAGGTTCGCAATCCAGATCACCCAAATTCTCAATCCCAAATTGTAACTCAAGTTCCTAAACTGACCCACCATCTAGGTAATTACAAATTATAACCCTAACCCCAAATTGTAAAGCTAACTACTTATTTTTTTAAATTGATGATCTATAAATACATATTTTGTTTAGTTATTGGCTGAATTTTTCTTGTAATCCAAGACATGCAACCACTATTTACTATTTACAACCATTAGTCATTATCTTGAATTATGATTGTTTGGAACTTTTATCAAAAATATAAAATAACTATTAGTTAACTATGGGGTCGTTTGGATGCCTCACTAAGAAAAGAGGGACTATATTAGGGAATACTGGACAATCCTGGCTAGATGGATAAAATCTAAGATTAAATTGGGAATAAAGATAATATCAATTCTAGTCAATCATTTGTTAAGTATAGTATAAAGAGTTAGATAATAAGTATCAAATCTAATATAATATTTGGTTAGATAATTTATTCAATGGTATTAAATGAGTGGACTAAAATGCCCTCAATCATCTCTAATTTGATCTCTTATAGTGATCCAACATTTCATAGGACTATATCAATAAAATCAAAAGTTGTGTAAATATTACTTATTATAAATATTTTTAAATAATATTGGAATTAAACAAGCATGCTTTAATTGTGTAAAAGTGAATTTTGGAGATATATATTTATTTATTATTAATGTCGTTGTTTATCATTATCCATGTGAACGACAAATAAGACTTATCTTTCACAGGTTGTCCATATAAGGGGGACGTCAAGTCATTGTAAAAAAATTAAGGGTCGATTTGTTATGAAGTCAGGATGTCTATATAATTTTTTTTTTAAATAAATAAGAAAGAATGATCACATAAATTTTTCTTATATTAAGAGTGAAATTGTAAAATAATGATATAATATACCTGGGTTGTATTATAATGCCAACTATCCTGCTGTTATTAAAATAGCTCAATAGTACAGATAGATTATATTAAAATTATCCATATGTGATACTTATCTAGTTAATCCCACATATAATACAAAATAATTTTTTGCATCCAAATGTAATATAAACCGGTATTAAAGCGTTAATCCAATATGACTTTTTAATACACCCTATAATACAACAACCAAATGACCCCTATGTGTATATAGATGTATAATTTTATGTAATTTCTTATAATAATGAAAGCGATCAAGATAAGAGTTATAAAATGAACCACGATCCAAAAAAAACATACCAACTAAACCTACTCCTATTGCATTGCATATTGTACAGCAGACCCGTACCACCGTTCCACATACCAAATAGATCGAAGATTCAAGTAACACTATGTTGACCTATTGTAGCCACACCAAAGTTGTCTCTATTTTTCATTTGCCCCACCTCTATTAACTTAATTCTTGGGTAATTACAAAACACACACACACACACACATACAAACATCCTCAGGAAAAGTGATGGATTAAGACGTCCAAGCAAGATATCTAATCTTGGTGAGACACTTTAGGCAATCAAGTAGATTTCTCGTGTCAATCTATACTACTTGTAAAAAGCAACTTAATATGAAAAACTTTTAATTTACTATTTAGACCTTATAAGAAAACTATAAAGGCTAATATGTCCTCTTATATTTAAATATTCACATTACCATAATGTTCTTATGTTATTGCCACATCACCCTCTGGCATCTTCGTAAATTTTATAAATTGTTGAATGGCCATATTCCACTTGTAAGAATATTTGAAGACAACAATTATTTATTCAAGTCAAATATTACAAAAAAACTTGTCAACAACTCCATTAATTTAATATTATCCACAAATGCCCAAAAAGCCTACATAATCGTCTTTTCCTCTTCATTTAAAAATTTCAACCCTTTCCTCTTTTTTTCCTTTCAGATTTCTGATCAATTTTCTCTTCCATAAGAAATTTTTTCTTCAATGCTTTTCTGAGTATATTTTTCACTATTGCTCTCTATTTGATTTTAAATAGTTAGAACAAATAAAATTTCATAACGCAATGAGCAAATACTTACAATGACACGTCCCTGTTTAACATTAGTTACATTCAACTAATTCAGGGTGGCGAATTATTGAGGCACAAAACAAAAACAGAAAAGACAATGCAAAAAGGCAAGAGAAAAGGAAAAATCTACAACCATTCCACAAGTTCGAATAAAAGAATTACAGAAAATGAGTCCATCATATGTTTATAGTTATGAAAGGAAATGCAAATAATGATCTAGATAAATATTTTTCAAATAATCTTATGATTACATAACATGGCACAGATATAATATAAATCTCATGCATATAGGAAGATATTTGATTTAGTTACACATATTTTTACACAAACTCTGTCCAACCTTTTTTAATAAAAACTTTAAAGCACGAAACATAAGGTGCATATCTAGTTTATCTAATGATGCTCATGCATCAACGGAATAGTGCTACATTGGTTACAAAAGTAAGATTAAAAAAATAAATACAATGATCATGAAACTCACATAGCTAAGATAAAATTGAAACTCTTTGCAGAAGGTATTATGTTGATGAAGGTAGATGTCCCTTTGTAATGTTAGTGGCAGTAGAAGCACTAAATGAAACTTGATTGCTAAAGTAGTTAGATATGATACATCATTGCATACTTATAATGTATGTACTATACTAACCCCAAGGCACCTGCAATTGATTAAATTACTCCACTAGATGCCAAGCCATGCTCACAAAAAACTGGGCAAATCAAAGCAACAAATGGAAAATAGCTGTAACAAATACAGGCATAGTATAAAATATATCATATACAATTCTATACATACCGTTTTCCATTTGAAGCTCTTCACCGAACACGACATGACCTGTGGTAGTTATTTCCCCCTCCTATAGTAATCCATCATTCAAAAAAGAAAACCAATTAAAACAATACCACATTAGAAATCCCAATCCAATACTCATCACCATTCAATCTTTCACATAATTATCACAACAATTGCCAAAATGACACCAACTATTAGATTAAAGAATTTTCCAACCAAATATATTAAAGAACTTAATAATATACACTGCATTTTAATTTCGCACAATACTAGATTCCATTATCCACCATGGACATAAATAAGACATTTTCCACGAATTTAATACTAAAATCACTTGATCAATGAATCATATGGAACCAAGAAGCGAAAATCTTCAAATCAGCTGACGCTAATTATGCCAAAACAATAAAGGGTATAGCTTATTAATATATTCATATAATTATCTATCTAATATTATAATATTACGGGTAGGAAGTTGAAATCTCAACTTATAAAGGTACAATAATGATTAAGATTGATCAAATGTTCATATATTTTGATCCAATGGTACAAAATTCATCCCAAAAAAAAATTTCTGCCCAAAAGTTGACCCGACCCCAATGGCAGACAACTCAATCAACACCTCCCTTTTTCTTCATTTTAATTTTAAATTAAATAATTGAAAAAATTAAATTATTATTTAAAATATAAATATTTGAACATTGGTTCGATTTTGATATTGTATAGTATCTACGGGGTTAGTGTGTGTGTGTATATATATATACCCAAGAGTATATACCTCAGCTTCGGGGGACATTGCGGCTTCGTCATGCCCGTAATCCACAATTGTAAGCATACCCTTTGGCCCCCTACTCGTGTCCGAACCCACCAACTGCAGTGGTTGTGGCGAAGAGAGAGAAATCGGAGACTGTTTTGGCGTTGAAGTCTCAAAATTGGAAGTCAGAGGGGTAGAATGGTCATTAATGATTTCCTTTTCTGGTAGTTGTGGTGGTGGTGGTGGTGATGGTGGTTCACCGATTCTATTCTCACCTTCTGAAATATTTGCTTCAATATTGTCGTTGACGATGACGTTTTGATGGTCTTCAATGTATTCCATCTCCTCGTCTTCGTCGCCATAGATGGAGAGCAAAGCTATGCCCTCAGATTCTTTCTTCCCTGAAGCCATTTTCAAAACTAGGGTTTTTCAGATATCAGTGAGAAATTTCAAAAAATAAAAAATTAACACTCAATTAGAGCCTTAGAACAACTCGAAGGGGTGACATATGGGGGTTTATGTCACCCCCAAATTCAAAATTTTGGGCTCTACGTGGAGATGAAAAATAGCATTAAAACTCTTGGGGTGATATTTTTGATAAATTTAGAGAGAGAAATGAAGAGATTGTAACGGAAATGATGAATATAGATCCATTAGATAACAAATTCAAATATTCATAAAAATTGATGAATAAAAATATGAAAATAGCACCCTATTTTGGTTCTTGTCATTGAATTACATTTATATTTCAATAGTGTCAAAACATTGTTCAATATTACAAATGAATAATTTGGCATCTCAAAATAACAACTCCTTTTACGGTTGCTCTTGGTACAAGTTTGTGTCTTCTAAATTGCATGGCCCGAGGCCCAGCATCTTATTGTTCCAAAATCAAAAGAATAAAAATGTTGTTTGATAAAATTGAAAAATGAAGTCTGAAAACTGAATGATGAAATTGTTGACTATTTGATATTCACTGAAATTTAAATAATTGATTGAATTAAACTGTTTGATAAATTTATAGAGTTGACGTCTGAAAACAAATTAATTTTCAGTTTTGTCTTTCCACTATTTAATTTGAAAAAATTTATAAAATATATCATAACATTAATCATAATCACTATTATTATATTGTGCTTTACATTTAACAAATATTTGATCAAATAAATAAATAACATTTGAATAACACAATAAGTGAGGAATAATAAATTGAATAATATAATAAGTGAACAATAACATCCTGATAAAAAAAGGAATAATAAATAATCAAATAATATTAAAAAAAATTATATTTCATTAACAATATGTGTTTGCACCGCGTGTGTGTGCAGTCCATGTGTGTACGTGTGCGTGCAATGCATATGTCTATGTGTAATTGTATGTGTGCAGTGTGTGTATTTGTGTGTGTAATCATAATTATGTATGTATATTTTGGTTACAGAAGACAAGAAAAAAAAAATCGACAAGGAAAATATATAGGTTAGGAGTTTTTAATTGACGATCAATTAGTGAAATTATACTTTTGTGAATATTAATAATTTTAATATTCATATGATTTAGGTTGCCTTGGGTAAAATTCCTCACTCCGACCCGGCATACAGTTATTCTTACACTTCTTGCTGTCTTGTTCTTTGTTGCGAACTAGGATTGTTTGCCCGCTAGGTCAAATTGGAGCAAAATTGTTATAAAATTTATCCAAAACAAAATCCGCATTAGCATGCCTAAATTAATATTTGATAATATTGTTTTTTAAGAAGTAATCCTTTATTTATCAAAAACGTAAAAAAAATATATTTGATAACAATTTACAAAAAAAAAATTATATTTTTTATATAATAAATCAATTTTAGAAAGTTGAGATCCATTAGCTTCCATAAAACACGTAAGTGATACTTCTAAAATGAACTGTAATGAAGCTGTTAAACATGTCACAATTTTCTAGGATGTTCATATTATTATATACAGACGTATGCAGAAACGTGTAGGACAGCTAGACTCCTATGTAAGCAATATTATATAGACAAAAAAAAACTGAATTTTCAGAGAGCAATTAAGACAACCTCGATTAAGAGAAAAATTCGAATTTCGGAGCACGTAACGTTAGCATTATCATGTAAGGTAACCATCTAATGATAATTCACCGAATACAAAATATGACTTAACTCATTCAAATAACTATCCCCTCTATGTAAGATAATAATAATCCCATATAAAAAAAAAAGATTAATTTCATTTTATACCCCAAAAAATACCTTGATTCTTAATTTGCACCTTCAGTATTATAGATTGGTAATAACGGATATCTGGCTCAAACTGTCGTCCAATTTGTTGTCGTGAATTGAAACACGTGAGTTAAAAAGTGTTTAGGGACGCAGACTTATGTGTAAATTTACAAATTGTTAACACATCATGTGAGTTACACATAGTAAGATTAGTCTTCATTTAATTAATAAAATCATATTTTTCGATATAAGAAATGGTGTCAAATTGATTATAGACGAAGATCTGAAACGATTAATATATCCCATCCTCATATTCGAAACACTTATATCTCACGTGCTTTAATTTATGACGAAAAATTGACGACAGTTTGAATCAAGTCCATATTACTAAAAATTCATAACACTACGAAGGCAAAATAATATTTTTAATATTTGAAAGTGAAAATTTAAAATCAAAATATCTTTTTATGGATAACAATGAAATTAGCTTTATACAAAAATGAGTTCACCTTGTATATTTGTTTATTTAACAACTTTGTGTCGTGATTAACAACATTCATATCAAATTATTTTGTTGACGAATCTAATGGATTAATCTGTGAATCACCAGGATCAATAAGAATAAATTAAAAAACTGCTAAATCCATGTTAATTCTGTGTCGTTTTTTGCGTATTGTGTCTAAAATTCCTAATTACAAAGAAAAAGTCTTACGGTATTTCAATGGTGTGAAACATGCGTATTTTGCATATTGTGTTTAAAATTACTAATTATAAATAAAAAGTCCATGACATTTCGATGGTGGGAAACCTGACGTGGGGGAGTGGTGTGGAAGTCATTGTAGTGTTTTTGTTATTGATTGACGTTTACGTGTCTCTGAATCAGCACCAGCAATTAGGTTGAGTTTACGAAAGGGTTGACTTCTAAAATTGCCTAAACAATTTTAGGTTGAGTTCACATCCAAATTGTAAGCTCCACTCTATCATTTGTCATTTGTCATTTGTCATTTGTCATTTGTCATTTGAAAGCCATTTTACAGGTAGAAATTAATTTATGTCATAATTTTAAGTTTTAAAAAATTATTATTATTATTAGGTTTTTTTGTTATGAAATACAAAAAATAAATAAATTAGTTCAAGTGATAACAGAGATGAGTTATAAACTTAAACGTTCTAAAAATTTATCTCTCATAAATACCCCTAATTTCGATATAAATGGTCTGTCTTTGATCGGATTTAGAAGAAATTAGTCAAAAAAATGGTAAAAAAATATCTTTTTGAAATATATTGATATATATATATATTTTTGACCTGAGATGCAACAATTATTCTGTTAGAATGAAAAAGACTTCTTATTTTTATGAAAAATATTTATTTAAATTTTATTTGTTGATATTATATGTTCATCTAATTATTTATAATTATTAAGTTTAGGTTGGCGGTGAATTTCTTCTACTTTTACACATTCTCCTTACTCAAGAAAAATACAGTCGTTACAATTAAGGATACATCAAAGGTCCAGCTGTCAAACGCCAAACGTTAACGTTCCGTCATTTCCTCCCATTTACACCTCCCGCCGTTAACTCTCCGTTATCACCTTCCTTTATAATCCTCTCAATTCCTGATTTTGCTCCTACTTTGCAGGCCTCACGAAGCCAAAAGCAAAACAACACACAAAAAAGCAGAGCTCAAACACGGACATACGATTGTCAAAACTCTACCTCACACCCAAAACTAAGCCTTCAATTTGACCTTGAACTCAAACCCAGATCACCAAATCAATGGCCACCTCCGCCACCACCACCACCACCACCAAGGCGCCACCGACTCGGAAAGAGTCACAGGGCTTACTTTTAGACCGGTATGAAGTTGGAAAACTCCTTGGCCATGGAACTTTTGCCAAAGTCTACCTTGCGAGAAACATAAAGACCAACGAAAGTGTAGCTATAAAGGTCATTGACAAAGAGAAGATCCTCAAAACGGGCCTCATGGCTCACATAAAGCGCGAGATCTCAATTCTCAGGCGGCTACGCCACCCAAATATTGTTCAACTTTTCGAGGTAATGGCTACAAAATCCAAGATCTTCTTTGTAATGGAATATGTAAAGGGTGGTGAACTCTTCAACAAGGTAGCTAAAGGTAGATTAAAAGAAGAAATAGCAAGAAAGTACTTCCAACTGTTGATTTCAGCTGTTGGGTTTTGCCATGCTCGTGGTGTTTATCATAGAGATTTAAAACCTGAAAATATATTGCTTGATGAGAATGGTGATTTGAAAGTTTCAGATTTTGGGCTTAGTGCTATATCGGAACAGATAAAGCAGGATGGTTTGTTCCACACATTTTGTGGAACACCAGCCTATGTTGCCCCTGAGGTTCTTGCGAGAAAAGGGTATGATGCAGCTAAAGTTGATATATGGTCATGTGGAGTGATTTTGTTTGTGTTAATGGCTGGTTATTTACCATTTCATGATCAGAATGTCATGGCTATGTATAAGAAGATTTATAAGGGTGAATTTCGATGTCCCCGATGGTTTTCTCCTGAATTGATCCGGTTATTGACTCGACTTCTTGATGCCAATCCTGAAACCCGGATGACAATTCCAGAGATTATGAACAATAGATGGTTCAAAAAGGGGTTTAAGGATGTTAAATTTTATTTTGAGGATGATAGGTTGTGTAGTGTTCAGGATGATGGGGTAGACTCTTGTTCGGAACAGTCATTGTCTGAATCAGATTCAGAGGAGGAGAGCCGGAGGAGGCTCACGAGTTTACCAAGACCCGCGAGCTTGAATGCATTTGATATAATTTCATTTTCGCCTGGCCTTGATTTATCTGGATTGTTTGAGGAGGGAGGAGAGGGGGCAAGGTTTGTTTCAGGGGCACCTGTGTCAAACATTATCTCGAAATTGGAAGAAATTGCGAAGGTGGTGAGTTTTACAGTGAGGAAGAAGGATTGTAGAGTGAGTTTGGAAGGGTCGAGGGAGGGAGTGAAGGGACCGTTGACGATTGCAGCTGAGATATTTGAATTGACACCGTCATTGAGGATGGTGGAAGTGAAGAAGAAAGGAGGGGATAGAGGAGAGTATGAGGAATTTTGTAAACAAGAATTGAAGCCTGGTTTGCAGAATCTTATGTTGGAAGAGTCTGTGGAAACTTCACATTTGCCATCAGATACTGAATAGAGGCGGGAAGAACAGAAAAGGGTATGCTTTGTGGTCTCCCATTTTGTTTTTTGTTTGTATTTTGTATGAAATTCATCGGTTGTGCAACTCAGTTCTGTTTTCTTCCCTTGTTTTAATGGTTGTATCTGATTATATGAAAAATGAAATACATGGTTGTTTCTATGTTAGAAATTTTGGTGGGAGACTAACATTTTCTTCTTTCATAACGTTATGTTGATATTCGATGAAGTGAAGTTCCAGTTTGCTGACTATCCTAAACTAAGCTACCCTTCTAGTGCATTATCATATCTATGGACGATATGGTATTTGCATTTTGGTTAATTTCAGTAAAACACATGATTGTGACAAGAAGAGTGGGAACCAATCTAGGTGATATGTTCTTTTTCTACTAAGGGGTTCTTTTTCGTCCTATCCACAGACTAAAAATGGAATCTGGATTGTCTAAAATTTAATTTGCTTTTGATTTTGAATCTTCTGATGGTGGCACATTGAGAAATGAGCCTGTTGGATACGGCATCACTGCTGAGATGCTGTTCCGTGCATTTTTAAGTTGGTTAGTTAAATGCTTGGTAGAGGCTAGTGCTTGGTAATGGTGGAAGGTGAAGTTGTCACGGAGTTGCGTCCGAATGCAGGCACTTATATGCAATTCATGCTTAAAAGTTTAGGTCTACACATAGTTAACCACTTCCAAGTTCCCAAACTAGAATGGGTCTAACAAACATTTGATAATGACCTTTATTCTTACCAAAATCTTAGGAGGTTATAATACAGAAATGGCCACAGTTCAACTGACCATAGTTCAGTGCAAGATAAGGGTTTTAAAGAGTACTGATGCAGTTAGAAAGGTTTCCCTTTTTGTGCATATGAGAGACAAAAGACGATCTTAGTTGAGCTTTATATTTTTTTTTCAAATTAGATATACAGCAATATCTCATTTGAGAGGTTCTTTAGTGTCAAAGGCTATCATGGAACAGGTGAGTGAGAATAAGAGACGGATGGATGGATTCCTATTTATAGTTGGTAAGAGTTCACTCTGCAGATAGATTAATACTACTAGATGAAGAAATGTGAGTTCACCGAATCATGGTTTGGAAACCAGAGCCATGTTTGCCGTGACAAAACAGTAACACTTAGGTCCTGGATTGAACCTTATTAGCTTTTATAATAAACTAGGGCATATCGTATATACTATTTTACATGTCTTCATATCTCACTTGAATCTCTCTTTTCCTTCAAGCCCATTTATTCATTTTTTTTTCCGGGGTAAGTATTCTGGTTCTTTTAATAATTTAATGATTTTTCAAGTTTTATTTCACTTGCTCATGATCTCGACTGAGATTTGAATTTGTATTAAAATCACTTTGAATAGAGTGGGCATCCTTTCATCATTGTTGCATTTTTGTTCAGGCTTTGAAACACTAGTTTTCACAGTGCTGGAAGTACACCTCTCATGGTCTTGGGAACCAAAACTCCAGAACTTCAATAATGTATTCAGAGCAATGTCCATTGTCATGCAAATTGAATACCACAGCTTTCTGTTGTCAATTATATAGTACCTTCATCGACATGTTCGACATAACTACAGATGCTTATTTGGATCAAATTGAAGCAAATTGTGAATCACAGACACTTATATGGAACACTACTTCCTCTGTAGTCACCCAGCTATGGATTAATGGCACCCCAATCTGAGCAAGGTGAATAGCAAGGTTATGTATACACTGTTGCCAAAGGTATCTTGAACTTAGTTTTATGGCTGACTATTCTACTGGATCTTAAAGCACGGTGCCTACCTTATTATTTTCTCTGCATATTTCTTGTTCAAGTAAGATGTAATCGCATTACAGTTGGTCACACCCGAATTTCTTATTGTACTTTATGTAATAGTTACACTGATTCAAGCCTATGTTCTCTTGTGAAAAAAACGTTAGGATATGAAAATAAGAGTTTATGTCCACGGATTAAATGCCCTAAGGGCTACATCGATGTTTATTCAGTAGTACTTGATCACATGAGATTCAATCCTATTACTAGAGTGAAAATTACATAATAAAGATAAAATATCACTTGTAAAACAATTTAAACAATTTGAGGGGGTGATAATGTAGATAATTCCTGTAAAACAACTTACTTTAGTTTGTTCTAATATCATCAGGATTATCTACGTTGTCACTCCTCCTCAAATGGGAATGAGGACACAGACCCAATTTGATGCATAGATCATAAAATAGTGTCCTTGCAGGGGGCTTAGTAAGGATGTCAGCTAGCTGATGAACCTGAGAGAACAAACCGAGTGAACCCGAGAGAACAAACTGAGTGACTAATGATCCCAGAGCAATCTTCTCACGGACATAATGGAAATGTAATGCAGTATGCTTATTGCGACCATGAAAGACAAAGTTGTGAATCAAGTAGATTGCGCTCAATTTCTTAAATCCTATAATCATATCATAATCCCAACCATGTAGATAGTGATAAATCTCTTGGATCCTACCAACATATCCTAATAAATCAATGATTCAATGATTTCTCTAATTTCTTTTCTTCAAAATAAACTCTTCTAGATTCATGGAGATATCATTGGGTCGTGTCAATTTCAAAATTTTCTAATCTCTATAGTTTTCCATGATCTAATCACCCATTATGGTATTCAATGATTAGACTAATGTTGAGTATAAAGTTAAAGTGGATCAAAAATAGAAAGTTCTATTTTGTTAAATCAATGGTCAAAACCATTTTGTAGGTGACAAAGTTGAAGAAATTTGGAATGTCGAGTTCCAAATCTATCATATAATGGCCATTTGTTTGCCCCACAACAAGGGTTGAGTCATATGCTTGTCCTTTCCAGATCCCTGAGGGTATGTCATGAAGCCAGTTTATGTGTTGCTAAGAAAGAGGATGTTGTTACACCCAGCTTAACGTAGTATCACCGTTGTAATGAATATATTTTCGTTTGTGTGATTGTTACGAACGCGAACATAGCGAAGCGTAAATACATGCATTGAAGTGAGCTTGAATTTCTTCCTGTATATTAGAAAATAAAAAATGAACGGAAATGAACATGTTTTGAAAGAGTGATCATCATCTTTCTCTAATAGTTTCTGTAATGGCTATGGAGTCATGGATCGGAGTTCCCGGTTCTGTGGTAGAGAACCCTTCGTCCTGAGAGAAAATGCCGTCCCCGTCCCCGTAGTGGGAAATGCTGATGGCTGGACTTTGTGGAGAGCCAGCAGCTATAATATCTTCTGGAACTGCATTAGCTGTTGTGGCCAGCTCGTGATCATTTGGTTCAGTTGTCATCTTTTTGGAAACATTACGAGAATTCTCTTTTTCCTCGTCAAAAATTTTCGCCATTGCAACGAGCTTTTGCCAGACAGAATCATGGGAGGCTAATACGTCCCTGTTCTCATGTAGAAATATCAATAAGAAAATAATGAGAGCTAAAGATGATGATATCCCGGCGATGAGGAAAAGGCCCATAAAACTTTGTAGTTTCAGGCAATCCGAGGTGACAACTGCTCCATCTTGCTCCGGACAGTCAGCCTTATCCCCTAACCATTTTTGCGTAAATCTTGTCATTTTATCTCCTTCTGTCACGTTCAAGATTGCTCTTGAAACCTCAGGTACGAGGGGAGAACCCATTGGAAATGCCTGCATCAAAGACAAGGAGGAAACATATTATATTTATTGGGTTAACTTGCAACTATTAAGTACTGGTATAAATCTTGGCAAATCACGGTGTTCAGCTGACTTGCAATGATAGACCCCTATTGTATGGAATTACGCGTCCATCTTTTGACTGCTATTGTCTAATCTCCTTAATATTCAATTCTACTTTATGTTAGAATATTTCTACGAATACTATTCTGATCTAAGTAATCTTATTCTGTGTCCCGTGATAAGAAGCATTACTCCTTTTTTTCATTCCAAATTCAAGAATAAGACATATATGATTGATTGGTCTGTGCACATTTCTTATATCAATGATGGAGGGATAGAAGTGAGAGAGAGAGAGAGAGTTTGGGGGGGGGGGGGGGGG